ATTAGAAAGCCTAATTTTGCTATGTAGCTTTAGGAAATCAATGATTTTTAAAAGCTCAATGTCTTGAATAAGAGCCAAATTGTATAAGGCCGTGTTTATCACATTTTAATATACATATTTTTGTACAAATACGATATCCTGTGTGTTTGTATGTGTGTCTGTGTAAAACAGGAAGGGGGTTGGTAATACGTATAAATTTTAATAAATACTTCATTTTCGAGTGTTAAAATTTGTACCAAGCCCAGGAAAAATATGATTATTCCAATTCACTGATCTGACGGTCGTACAAAGTTTATGTTACCAAAAAAATAAAACAAAGAAGAAACTATCGTCTATTTAGTGATAAGACACCATATATATTAAAATAATTTCATAACGGATTGTTTTTATTTTTGAACAAAATGAATACTGATTGCTGGCTGACATTCTTCAATCGACTGTGTGTTTTTGTTTTAGTAGCCCTAAGGATAAAATTTTGTGGGCGTGACCATAAATTTCAGTCAAATAGATTGATAAGTTGAAATGTTAACAAAATATGTGCTCAATTTGTTCATGGGTACACAGTTTTTCTAAAAATAAAAAGCAATGGTTCAGTTGGTTGCAAATCATTTCGATGCAAGATTTGATTAGTTGATTTTTATGGGGAATCATTTAGTTGTGGTCGTATATGGGATTTTTATGATTCTAGTGATTCAGAAGTCACTTGTTCAAAAATGTTCTGGAAATCGTTTCACTGGTGCTGAATAATTTTTTTTGATCTGCTTCATATCATTACGTAATCACTCTATTAGTGTGATATCATTTCTATACTAATCAGGTATACTATATACTGTATGAAAAATGTAATGAAAGGTTATAGATCTATCAATGTATTAATTATATAGAAGTAGAAAATGATGGCGACTGTAAGATATGGAATAACTTAAATAGGAGCTAGCATCTAGAGTTTAAGTGTGTTGGTGACGTTAAATCCCCAGTACTCACATGATAAACTTCCTAATTTTGGACTTTATGTTTTCTAGCACTGGCTGATTTGTTGACCTTGGGATTACATTTCCCACTCGGAAAGTTCTTGGCTGTTATTGGTGGATGTATTATTTTAGTATGCTGCTTTTGTGGCTCTCTCAAGGACGTTTCTATGATGTATGAGTAAACTCGGTTTGTGTGCTTGTGGACCTCGATTTTCTGGGTGATTGTAGAATACACTTTCTACGCCATATCAAGGCTTCTTCTTCTACTTTGTGGGGCCTTGGGACGCTCAGATTAGAGTAGCCCATCGTATCACTGGATCATTTGTCTCGCTCTCGTTGACCGACTAAGGTGAACTCGCAATAGTTCAAACATATCAACCCACGAGCATAACAGACTGAAAGGTCCTCGGTTCGATTACTGCGAGCGGGTTGATGAATCTCATACTAGGACAAAACAGCTGTTCAGTGCTTCCAGGTTTTTAATAGTTGTCTAATAGTTGATTTCAACAAGAAATAAATATTTCCTTTCATATTAGAAACAGTTGAAACTGTACTTACATCTGACTTATTATAATGTGTGATAAGGATATAGTACAACTGAATATCTCCAGTTATCCTGTATTCTGAAACTATTTTTGGTTCCTTGATCAGAAATATTTTTTTATTTCAATGTATCAATTTTAAAATAGACAAAGTAATCATAATCCCATTTATTAGTGATTTCTTAGCCTATTAAAAGTTGACGATGATGTTTTTAGCTAAAGTCGCTATTACAATAAACTGGATTTTAAAATATGAAGTTTACGCAAAACCTAATCAAGCCTAATAGATATGTTATCGGCAGTTGGTTGGCGATGTGATTATGACGGTGAACTTTATACAAATTATTGGGCAGGTCAAGTTCATCGATTTTATACTACAGATGAAGCAAAGTTCTTAAGTAATCCCAAGTCCTGAAAGCTTATGGAGTACAGCTCATTGTTGTTAGCACTTAAATGTATATAAACATTATTACCCTTAATGCTATTATTATTACTGCTATTATTGTAATTGGTTATAGATAAGAAAGTTCATTTATTTAATGTGTAGGTCTAACTGTGTATTCACTATACCAAATAAAATTTGTTTACTAAAATTTAAAATAAGTCTGAATGTTTCTCACAAAATAATGTGAATTCAGTCAATCATGTGATATGATGAATGTTCACTTTGAATTCGATGACAATGAATGTCAAGTGAATAATGCTAACCATTAGTAATCTTCGACGTATGAACTGAATCCAGATACGCATATACGATTATTTCATAGGTAAATAAGGTAAATTATAAGGCTAAATTAATTTGTCATTGAGTAGTATTCATTGTATTGTAAACCATTTAAGTTTCATTTCAAAATTAGCTGACTTAACTCTTCCAAGATGAAGAGTATACATAATGCAACAGTGCCTGAAATTAGTAAAGGCCTGATAAAATCAAACAATGATTCGGTCAGCCTCCTCATCCATGAACTAATGTGATAAGCCAGAATTACATTCATGGTTGTTGTGTATGTTCCCATGAATTACAGTCCACTATCCATCTATCTCTTTGAAATATATAAATGTTGAACAAATACATTTCGATGAAGCTCTGAACGAAATCGCATTATAAAATCATTACATATACTTTAATCTTTATGGACGACTACTAAATTTCACTCACAGTTGGCTTAATGGTATTCTTTATTACTTATGGTAAGAGGAATTATGCTATTCATCTAATAATGATGATAGATTCAGGTTTGTTCATTAAAAATGTTTTCATCCAGCCAATATGGAGGAGGGGAGGAAGTTAAAGATTCAAGATCATTTTTATAAAAGGATTAGGACAAAGGGATGAATTTGTGGATATAAGATAAATGATAATCATTGTTATTTCAGTTTGTTCAGTTACCAGTGCCGACTGTTTAATATTGTAAATAAGGTTGTAAACAGTTGATGAGAGAAACCATGACACAGAGTGAATATATATTGCTCGACAACTATTGTTGTTGCTACTCTTCTGGTTTTACGCTGTTTATGTGATTGAGACATATCTGTTAATCCAATTTCCAGTACATTAAACTGTTCCGTCAATGTTACATGTCGTTTCCTAGTTATTAGCTGTTAGGAAAAGTATGAGCACTATCTTTCATCAATAGTGTTTTCTACATTAGCATTCCACGATAAAATGGTATTTGTACAAAGATGGTCATTGATGGTTAAAGCAAACAACTAATTTAGTGTATATTTGAAGAAGGTACTAATAATGTTGTTGATCAAAACGCTTCACAATTGAATCGTTCAGCTAAAGTTAAAAGATCCATTGGCTTGCATAATTTACTACAGTGTTATTATTATTATTATTACTACTGCTATAATAATAATCTATTTAGAATAAAAAGTTTCACTCAACCTATTCTCTATATTTATTAAGGATACTTGGGTCAATTTTCCGGAAGTAAATAATTTTCATTTAAAATTTTTCATATTTATTTCTTTATTTAATCATCAAGAGTAAACAAAGACTGTTCATGCCAGTTTTCTCATTTAGTTATTTCATGGACGGTTCTATTTGTCAAATTTTTCTACACCCTACAAAGTTTTTTTCATTAATTTTTCTCATGTATTAATAGCTAGTATACAGTTTTGCATAGTTGAAAACCTTTACACAATGTGTTCCTTGTTCATTTTTAGTCTTTACGTAAATATTAATTATTCATACACAGATTATACAAATACACATGTGCATGTATGCATGTATATGTATATATGTGTCCGTTTATCACTAGTGTAGGAAATGTAAGCCAAAGTTTCTGAGAGATTGAGAAATAGCTTTAAAAATAATTTACACAACTATTAGCAGTGGATTCCAGACCACGTTAGTTGGATGTACCTGCATCTCAGAGTTGATATCCATTCTAGGACTCGGATGCAATACTTTACGCTTCAAATGCCATCTCCTTATCCATTTAGTTACTGAGTTCAGATAATCACTCGCTTGTTAAATGGAGTGAACAAGTAATACAAGTTAATTAATTTACATAACTGTTACAGTGAATAAGTTACTTTATGTTTTGTGTTATCATTTACAGATGTAAAATGTCGGGTTTATGTTCGAAATATGCTTTCTTGTCTTCCCTGATATACACGCATATATAATAATTATTAAACTCATAATTAAATTAATTAACTGATCAAGAGAAAAATGTATATTATTGGCTGTTGATTTTATCAAATATTAAAATTTCTGTAAGATACAACCTACTCATTAATAAGTCTTACTGTTCTGGTAATACAAGACTCGAAGAATCATGTTATTTGACAATCATTACTTCAAGTGTACAGTTATGAAATGTATTATTTACTAATTAATAGTTACGGAAATACTGAATTCTAATTTTCCGTAATGAAAATCATTTTCAAGTAAAACAGTAATAAGACCGTTATCGTAGTGAGTGATTTCAAGATGAGAAGTTGTTATGACCAACAGAATCAATGTCTAGTTGTAATTGATCCGAGGACCTTAGAAATGATATTAAATGTAAATAACGTAATAGGAACAACCAGACATAGTTGATAATTTGGATTATTGAATTGCAAGTGAGTAAGTGTCATGTACTTACCTCAATATTTAAAGGTTATAGATTGGAATCTATATGAAGTGTATAGGGGTGCGCACATACACACACCACTGAATCGTACCATAGTAGAATTATAAATAATCTATTCAGGCCCTGTTTCTGTGTTTTTTTTTATGACATTTGGCATCGTATCATAATGTCAAGATGTAAACTTCATTGTATTTTCAATATATTATAAAGGCGATGCAGTATTGACAGTAGATTTGTACAGGATACTATTTTCTCGGTTGTTCTCATGAACTGTCCACATTGTCAGTAACTAGCATATATCATTAATGATTCGTTATAATTTATGTATACATATATATGAATGTCTTTAATTTTATTGTAAATGTTTTTTATGATTGTTGTTTCTGTTCTGTTTTCAGCATTTACATGAATTCGTTGCATATCCTGAATTGTTAACCCTATCGGTTGATCAATTGAGTACATGTATTTTGAAAGGTTTATCAATGGTCCATTTATTAATTCAGTATACTTTATCCGTACCAAAAGAATTGTACACGACAGAAAAAGATCAAGTAACATTGCATGAACCTGTAGACAACACTAACAACAAGGATGATAACATGAATGATATTGATAATACAATTTCAAATGTCAATGAAAATAATGGTGAGTTTGTTTATTTTTTACGCACGTGTGCGTGTGTGTGTGTAGTTATTTTCATTTTAGTATTATTTTTTATTACGTCGTATGGTGATCGAAGAGTATGGTACTTTTTTCCCATTTGTTCTTTGTAATTTATAGTTCTTTTGTTGAATGTCATCAAATCCAATATTTGTTACAGTAATTATCTTTTATCTAAGTCTGATTGGGTTAATATTCTCTGAATTTGTTAATAATAATACTAACAAGTAGGATAGCATGAATCAATCCTACTAAAAATCAATATTTGAATATGATCGGATAAACATTGAGTATAAACTTGATTTGATTGTTGAACGTCAGATGTATTCTTGGATAATTTTGATTTTGACTATTATGAATACTTTGAAGAAGTCCAGACTAGATAGCTTGACAAAACGTTTGAGTTGTCTAGAATTTCAATTGGATCGGATTAGTTCAGATATGATTTTCACAACTACTCTTTTCTATATACTCAGCACTCATTGTTTGCAAAACTATTCTTTCAATTATTAATGAATATTGCTATAAATGCTGTAAACCTTGTTATAGTATTTCTCAGCATCAATTGTACAATATTATCAAGAATTTCTATTTGACATACATTCAAATGTCTTTTCAAAAGCCAAAATATCTTCCATACATTCTCAATTGTGAGAGTTTACTATCAATTCAAAAGTTACAACTGCTTTTTTTTCCATTTCATTCAAAAGATGTCGAATGTTTTGTTTGAAATGACAGACAAGAAGAAGAATATCCCAACAGGTTTATTGTGTTTTCGTTTGAGTTTCCCCGTATTTGACATTGTAATAGATTGCAAGCCATTTGTAATACTACGTTAGTATAAACACAGTTAAGATTCATAATTATTCAATTCAAACAAATCTGAGACGGGATAGTTTATTGCTGCATTTTCAGAGTTGAAAAGTAGATAATTCAAATAGTTGAACAATTCACTAAAATACTTTGTTATACAGTTGAATAATTTCAATAATTTATGTGCTACTGTTGATATTTTTTATTCGAAAGAACATTGTTACAGTTTTAATATTAAATCATTGCGTTGTTGAAAACGCAACAGGATTAGAATAGTCAATATTTTGTAAAATGATTTAAATAAAATCAAACCAACTATCAGTTCAACTTTAATAGAATGAACAGTAGATCTCATTTATACAAGAATATTTATTGAAAAGCGAAAAGAAGGTATAAGATATAAGAAGATATGATATATTTCGAATTTGTTGCTTTGTCATGATTCACATAGTAACAAGAGTCATTTGAACCAAAAGAATGAGCATGCATGTTATTATTAGACCATAGGATTTCATGAATTTCATTAGAAATCTTACTAATCAGACAAATATTAAAGCAATAAGAGTAATTTAATACTTTGCATCGATTTGATATTTTTATGGGTATGAGGGCGGATGTTACTTCCAGGCTGCCTACATAGTGGTTAGATATCTGTTTGCTAACCAAAGGACGTGTGGTGCGCGCTACTTATAAGTAGTATATGACGCGAGTGTAAGCGTAGTGTCTGGCAGCAGAAGATGGGGGAAGATCAAGAAAGGAAGAGCGGATTTGTATGAAACGCATGGACAGTGAAATGTCAGACAATGGATTGATGTTTTGCAACAGGAACAGTCCAAATCGATATGATGGATTGATATTTTGCAAATTAACGATTTAAGATATAGTTTTTCTATTTTACCAATTAACTCTGTAATTTAAGATAAATACTATCCGGTCGCCCCCACCTGTGTTCTCCTTCACTTCACTAATTCTTGAATAATGTCGTCGAACTCTAAAATTTCCGTTTATTGCTAATACTTCTACTATCTTTACAACTGTGGGGTTTGAAGTGGCAGTTGCATCTCTGTGCTAATGTGGTATGGCAATTTGAACTGTTGTACGCACGAACGAAGTTCTATGTTGCCATTGACTGTTCGACTGACTGATCGAATTGATGTTTATATATATGTGTATGTGTGCAACTTCACTAGTAGAAGTATTCTTTCCGTGTACATCAACCATTTGATAAATAGTACTCAAAAAATTTATGAATAATCAATCCGAAATATGATTACATAAATAAGGATTGTATAGTTTTTTATATTTTTTAATTTTACAATTCTAGCCATCATTTCACTCAAATAAATCATTGGTTGTTCATGTCTGTTGTGTGTGTGTGTGTGTGCATTGTACATTTGATGGTAGATTATCATGCTAATGTGCCAAAAAATTTCCTATTAAGTTGTATTTCTTATTGACCTAGCCTTAAATCTCCCTCATTCTCATGTATGTCATTTGTGAAACTTAATCAGTATGAATAAATATTATGACTAAGAGTTTATTTTTTATTATTTTCTTTTTATTATAGCCTTAGGCTAAATTAACTGAATTCTAGGTGTATAGTGTTCAATTTTTTCATTAAATTTATTCTTTTACAATTTGTTGCAATATATTTCATTCTTTTTCTTTCTTTCTTTGTTGTTGTCCTTTTTATCGTTTGCATTCAAATGAATGAAAGTAACTGAAGCATAAAAATGTATGCTTTTACATTGTTCTTGGCTTCAATTAATTGTAGCATTTATAAAAATTTATGTTGATTTTCGTGTATTTTCAAAGTATGATTATTAAAAATACATTGTCATGACAAAATTATGATACTGCTAATTGGATTATCTAACAAGTAGTATTATTTTCATGGTTAAGATCACAATCTGATCTTAATTATATTACTATTGAAAATGTGGAATCATTAGACAGCAGTTTCATCCTAGCATAACAGTCTTCTACAATGGACACTCAGGACCCTATACCCTTGAGTCGAACCCACGAATTTCGAGCTTACTCGTGAACACTTGAATTTCCGATTGTTAAACCAGGATCCAATGATGTACATATCTAAGTCTAATCAATACATGATATTGTGCGATCATCTTCCATTGTGTTCTGTAGACACAACACCCCGATATAGTTGAACCCTTCTTCGATAATCAAAAGCAGTTGTATTACATATACCCAGAAATGTTCAATTCGTACTCTAATAGTCACGTATGGACTAGTACTGAACTCGGAAAGAATTACTTGATCGCAAAAGAAATTACTGTATTTTTGATTCGAATTAAGCGCTGAATCATGTTCAGAGGACTCATTTTTGTATACAGACATCACATCTGTTGATCAAGGTTGATTGAAGTTAGGTATGTACACCATTAAAGGACATCCTAATGGTTTAGAGATTAACTGTTTGCACGTATGACAGATCCTGATTCGTAAGTGTACACTGTAGAAGAGTGCCATATTAGGGCTATTTGGCCATCCAGCGCTTCCAAGTTCTTCTCATAGGTGGTTTAGCTGAAATCAGTTTATAATTTAAGGCGTGAAAGTTCCACAATTCCCATGAATCCCTATATATAAGTATTATTATTATGAACTATCGAGAGGATTCACCTAGTCGTTGATATTAACAGATTTATCAGTTAGTTCAACCGATTACTTCTAGTTGTATAGATGTTTGTACCTAAGAGTTTGATTAATTTATTAACTTACGATAATTCATCGAGGTGTACTCGTAATTTCTAAAACACTGATATCCCTGGAGGCATTTGAATTTGTAGCTACAGTATTCACGCAACCTATTCACGTAATCACCTTGACAAACCGATCTACAGGAATCAGTTAGTACTGAAAATGTAATAATAATAATAATAACCTATGGATAACTAACTGGTAATTGTCTAATGTTGTTGAACACCATAGCAGCTAATTCTGTTAAAGCAATAACTGTTTGAAAAAGGTTATAAACACTAATAATTCTGTCTGAAGAAATCGATTATGATTTATTCTACCAGTTTTAAAGAACATTTACCATTAATCTGTGATATTAGTAAATTATGTTAACTAGTAATGATAGAATGAAATCATTTCATCGATCAATGTTAGACAACCATTAGAAACCTGGAAGTACTGGAGTCATCAGTAATAATCACCCACCAGCCTCACTCACAGGAATCGAATCCAGGGACTTCGATCTCACGTGTGAATGCCTAACCTTATTGACGGGAAAGAAATCAAGGTGAAACAGCTGTTCAATATTTCTTGACTTTTAATCATTATTTAACTGAGATCAATTTGTGATATAAACTATGAAATTCAATAATCTTTATAAAATCTCTTATATTATTATTTAAAATATACTTTCACTTTTTATTTTCAAACCTTTAGAATCATTATTATCACAAGAGAATCGTTTTATACTTGTCAATCGTGGTATTTACAATCGACTCAATGCATTAATTAAAATACAAAATACAGAAAAAATGATTATCATGCCAAAACGTATCCAATGGTCATTAGGTTTAATTCATAATCGTAAACATTTCACATTCAATCAGAAATTTCTTGATTGTAATAACTTCATAAATTCATCATTGTCACAATCAATTTGTTCATTTGATAAAGATTTATCGGTTTATAGTAATGAGAATATTTCTAATCATTCTAATCAAAACAATATTGATTATGATGACAAAATCAATCATGGTTGTAACAATTATTATTGTAATGGTTATTTAAGAGATTGGGTTGGATTGTCAATGAACGATCATGTTAGCAATTGTAACTCTAATCATCAACATCATGATCATCTGAGCTGTTCAACAAAGAATCAGGGATTAAACAACACATCATCGTCGCTGTCGCCGTCGTCGTCGACATCATTGTCAACAATGTCATCTTTTATAAATGATAATCATGATCATAGTAATATTCGAATTGCTTTTGTTCGTCGTGAATCATCTGAATGCGGTAATGCAATAGCTTCATGTTTTCTTCAAAATAAATATTCACGTAAGTAACGATGACGATGTAAAAAATGTTTTTTTTTTCGACTTGACCAGGAACAGAATAACATGAATTCATTGTTTTTCGTGAGATTTTCGTCAGTTGCTTAAGATTTGTGATATTTGATTGGTATAAAAATATTTACGAGTAATGTAAACAGCTGAAGAGAATCAAACGAAACAAATTCAATGTTTTTGATTCTACTTGAGTCTTTGTTTTTGCTCACTTTTAGCTAATTAGTCGGAGAATGTGTGCAAATTTTTGGCTTATTTGTTTTTAGTATCATTGTTGTCTTATTATAATTATTTTTAACTACTGAATAAAATAACAGTAGCGTATAATTTGCTGATCAAATTATCTCATCGGGAATATTTAATTTGACTTCGAATAGACAAAAATTCACTTTATCTGTTTTATAAAAATATTGATGTGTTGCCTCGGAAGTGAAGTGAAGTGAAGTGATTATTTAGTCCAATGAATTAATCAGGAAAAATGAAACGATTCTACAGTTGAATATATTTTTAAGATTTATCCCAGATATGTAACAGAACATCTAACTTCATGATCATATAAGTAGTGGTATTAACCTCTATGCAATAGCCAGATAGTCATTTGTAATACTGAAGTTGGTAAGTATGTTAATCAGATCGATTTACTACACTACATCAATATAGCGGGTGAACTTATCCTTGAGTGATAGTTTGCACCTACACCAACGTAGCACAGTTCAATTATCAATGACTTCATGGGTTGACTCCACATCATGGTTTGAATTGTCAGTGTCCGAAATTTAAGACATAACATGAACTATACAGACAAATATTTAAAAAAAATGAGTAGCAACTTGAAATTTTGATTGTGATACTGATTGGTAGGCAGACTAATGCATAAATATGAACATGTTAAAACAAGTTGTCAGACATCTTAGTAACAAACATTGAAGAAAAAATATAGTAAACACTAGAATTACTCGGTATATGGAATACAAAACTTAACGAACATATCGATTGAAGGTCTATAATTTAGCTAAAAGTTTAAGTATAACTACTGGAATAGTCATTTAGAGGTTCTATCCCGGGGTAACATGACTTTAGAGATGTATGCCAGATGGTTAGAGATAGTTAACAGGGAATGCTGCACGTAGTTTTTATGCTAGTTGACAGCTACCAGCAAGGTATATCTGAAAATTTTGAGGGAAGCGATGATTATCATTCATATTGAATGCATGTACTTTTTAGGTCATTTTAATAGAATACAGATGATAGCAAAAGCTACAGGCTTGTTTATTGCATAGATTTTGATGGATACGCTTGTTTTCAACAGTAGGTTTCATAAAATTTCGGGTGTTGTGCTAAGATTCTACTACACTATGAAGATCATCGTAAACTGTTGGATAGTCTTAAACTAGGAAAAACTTGCACAATAGTCTCTTGTTGTCGGTATATTTGGTGTCAGTTAGCTAAGAGGAATAATGAGTTATTTAGTAAAATCTCTTTTTGGGAAGGAAATAATTTGTTTTAACGGAATTCATTTTAGTTGCTTTTAAAAAATTGTTTGTTTTTCTTCCAATCAACCAATTTCTTTTACAGCTGCTAAATTGCGTAGATCACGACTTCGTGGAACGGACAGCTTAGTTATTAAATTCAAAAGGAATAATCTTTCAAGAGATTATTATCCTAGTGAATCAGTGCCTAATTCAATTGTGCAATATAATGAACAGTCAAATTGTGATAAATTTTTTAGTCAGAATACTACTTTTTCGACTACCGGTACTACTACTACTACTAACACCAGTAATAGTAATAGTAGTACTGAAAAACGTATGCGCTGTGATCAAAATAAAATTTTATGTATTTTAACTTCACCTCTTAATTATTCATCAAATTATTACTCAAGGAATACACATTATGACAATCATCATCTTCCTCTTCCTCCTCCTCTTTCTCATCAACATCACAATCATCATCAACATCATAGCCGTCTTTTATCACCAACTACACTGACCACATCATCTATTGCATCTCGTGTGAAATGGGGAGCTAATTTAACATTATTATCTAATTCTTTTACAAATTGCCATGATGTCAATGATGATAACAAGACAAATTATCCTATCAATCCACAGTATAGTTCTGAGATGAATACAAAAGAATTAAATCAATTCACTAATGGATTGAATGCTCATACAAAATCTTTATCACCATTATTATCATCTTCATCATCATTGTCAACATCAACATCAACATTGATGCTTAAAACTTGTCATCATGATTTAGATAGAATAATTCTACAACCCAGACCTAGAATACCACCGAAACGTTTAGATTTAGCTAATCAAGATTTAGAATTAGCTTTGAAAAGAGTAAGTAATACTTTCTTTTTTAAAAAATAAATCTGTTTTACTTGCTATTGATGTGTATATGTTTTCTATATTAGTGTTATTTAATGTTTAATTGTTTTGAAGTACTGTGATTCATAAATTACTCATTCTTTCTAATAAGCCCCGCCGTAGCTGCTACCTTGAGGTGGTGGTCGGGCTTGCCTATCGTGATGACCCAACCGAGCTATACTGGCTGGAACACATGTTCCTGCAGGTCCTACCATGCCAGGCAGGTCGATTGGAGAACGATGAGACTAAAAGCAGCTACCCAAGGTCTGAGGGCGAAGTCGTACTGCTGACTGCAGAGGGGTGTGACAGCAGTGAGGTGTTTCCCTCGGACAACCAGCATCTGCAGCAATGCTGCCTTCTCACAAGGAAGGAAGGGTTAGAAAAGGTCGACCCTGAGAATGTCACACCTCACCTTACCTCACGCATTTCCGTCTCCGGCGGTAAGGCCTTTTAAACAAGAACGGAGCTAACACTTTAAATACTGCCCATAAAAATGCCGTGTGTGACCAGCCTCAAGCAGTTGTCCGTTGGACTCTGCGGTCACGCTCCCAGGTGGTTAAGACCGACACTAATCTACCTTCCTTTTCAGGTTCCTCAAGAAACACCCTTCCACGGTATGGGCAGCCGGGAAGTGACATCCGCCCTCATACCCGTACCAACACACGAGACAAAAGTGGTCACAAACAAATCCTTCCTTCTTTCTAATAAGCTGAGGAATGGTAAAAAAAGTTGCAAACTTCAGCTGGATACTTTTGGATGGTTGATTTGATCAGCTTGTGATTGTTAGTACTAGTTAAAGTGATTTAGAAACTAATTGTATGTTATATGGAACCCTAGATTGTTTCCGTTTATCACTCTTTAGTTGTATAAAATCTATTTAGATTATTCGTTGTTAGATATAAAAACTTTGGGTCCGACAACAAATATCACATAGTAAATTATTAGTAAAAGATAGTTCGTGTATAGTTTGAATATTTTGAATATTGTTACTGTTACTGACAAAAAGTTATGTGAAATGGGGTTTAAATTTAAAAACTACTATTAACTTACTATCCCATTACAATATAATATTTGTATGGAAGATTACGTTAGAAAGTACTGTACTGATCGACAAGTTCATTTCGTAATTAACATGAAACGAATGTTTAATACTTTCTACTTTTTACTATTCTTTCGTCGAGTTTATGGTTATCACTGACCAAAGAAGTGTATATTACATAGGGATGCAAGACATATTTCCTCTTATTAAACCACTTTAGTTTTGTTTTAACTTTTCTATCCTTATAATTCTTCGAAACAACCATTCACATATCGAGATTTCAAGCTTTATGATACGAAGAGGGAGATAATTACGAGTAAATCAAAGTACTCTTACAGTTTCTTTTGTTGCTTTTCAGCAAAACTATTACTATGGTGTGGATTAGGCAGGGATAACTCTAATGACAACTTCGATATAGTTATACATTAGCTCTTTTATTTATTAGCTTCAAATACTTTAAAATATAAATCGTATCAAGACTTATTGAAAGAGATCAGAAATTAAATTCATATCAACTTCAATTTTATAATAAATCAATTAATCTTAATGATTTCTATCTACAGAATTTATTAAGTGAATAGTCATCATTCATACAAAATGACAGTGAATTTATTAAAATAATGACACTCCTTAAAACTCAATAAACTAAAAAAAACCAAACAAAGTGAATCAATACAAATGAAAATGCAGTCAAAGTAACAAACAAAATTCACTCTAAATAAAATAATGAATTTTAAATTTGATTTCTTCCTGAGTGTTGCATTTAGGAGTTGAGAGACTCCAACACCTGTATCTGAAAATCTACCGACTGGTATAATTCCTCATGGTTATAGTATCATTGGAGTATTGACTTTAGCAAGCACTAATCTTAGAACTCAACTGATATTTCTTATATATATGAGAACTTCAAGATACGGTATTTCCATTAAACTTGGTATTCTTGCAAATATTTAAACATGAATCCCGCTTATCTGGTTGTATGTAGGTTAGTTTCCTAAATATCCTATGAAACTGGTTAGCCTTTCCTTTAGCTCATTTTTACGCTTATATACAAATCATTGCCTTGGTTGTAGCTAAATTGCTTTGATCACTTGAGTTGCTTTAATCACGTTGTGCTAATCAGGTGTGCAACCACGACCGGCGGGCATCTGCCCCATGACCTGTGTTTGTAATGTCTGTGCCACTTCATACATATTTTATTACTTGTTATTAGCTACTCATATAGTATTGAGTAGGTCGGTAATTTTAATAAAATTATTTGATTATGAAGACATTCCGAAAGAATATACATGACGTGTTTCTTATGCATTTTTAGAGTCTTAGTGATTGTTCAATGCAATCATCGAATAAAAACTATTATAACAGTTCCATCAAGAAATCTCTGGCCTATTCAGTACGATTAAATAACCAACATACTGGGAATAGAGATTCAACTAATAAAAATCTTGTACGTAGGACAAAAACAGTGCTACGCACAAAAAGAAAACGTCACAAAACATTTACCAATTCACGTCGTCAGAAATCCAAAGCTGAGAATATAGTAAGTGGCTTTGTTTCATTAGTCGAATTTTATAAAATCTGTTAAATTTTCTCATTTTAAAATTTCACTTATTTTGTTTACAAATGACATGTCACAAATATTCAACAATCACTGAGCCAATAAACATGAGAAACTGTTAAACTTATTTTTATATATGAAACCTTTAACAGAATTCACTAACTTTATTTTAATATTCAGTAATGCTTTACTTCAGGATAGTTGTCTTAATGTGATCTGAAATTAATTGAATCAACTGAAAGAATATATATAATTCAGAAGAATTTGTAACATATTACGCATTGAAATTATGCATCGATCATCGTTGGACCAGCATTTGAAACCTAGAAGCACTAGACGGTGAGAATCCGCATGTGCCATCTTAAAAGCGACCGCCTACACTCTAGATCACTGAGCCGGCAGTCAACGGTGTTATTATTCGATTTTAAACAATCCAAGGTATTGCACAACCTCATTCATTGTCTTTGGTAGATAACTGCCTACACAGGACGGGGTTAAGCTCCACTTGTCATGACTTGTCCTTATAATTCCGAAAATTTCTTCGTGAATCTAGTCACTAGTGAGAACGTGAACCAGCTCAGTAGTCCCGAGGTTAAGTGTTTGAGCATGAGAACGAAGGTCCCAGGTTCGATTCCCGCTAGCGGATGTGCACTGCTAATGAATTCCATACTAGGACGAAACGGCCATCCAGTGCTTCTAGGATTCTAATGTCAATCTAAAAATGACCAATTCATAATTTCATTGAAACTCAGTATTCTCAACTTGAGATGAAATCTTAATTTTAGAGTTACATTTCAGTATATAGGACTGATTCAATTAATGAGTGGGTAAATGACAAAAATTACTGGATATGGCATATCACTTGAGTAGTGAAAATGTAGTGGATAACTCCAGCTACAACTTCAAACAATAAGTTCATAATAAAAAAAGTGTGCGTCATACAGTCTTTTATTATACTGGTAGTGTAATAATGATGGTTTTTGTTATAAAAAGTATTTTGTGTATTATTAGAGTTAATTAACTTTCTACCTTTTTGCATAAACTGTACAAAATACTGAGTAACAATATATAAATGTATATATATAATCAGGCAATATACAGACATTTCTTTCTTACCGACAATAATCATAAATGTTAGCCGGTTGTTTTTTTTTCGAAGATAAAAACAATTCTAATCGAAATGAGTTAAATGAATAATTCGATTATTCACAGGTTTTGATTAATTATTAGCTTAAAAAAAAATCAGTTTATGAACGGTTCATCCGTTGTCTTTGAAGTGAAAAGAATCAATTCTAATTCGTGTTTGTTTTAATCTTAGTTTTCCTGGTGTTGCATTTTAATGACTATTCTTGACAATGAGTTTGATGAAAATAATTTCAGTGTAGGGTTGTAGAGGTAACTAGGTTTGATTGAAATCACCAATTGATCAGCGTAAGACCGCCATTGAAAACATGGAAGTGCTGAACAGCTGCTTCATCCCAGTATCAGACCGAGCAATGCACAATTAGAGTTAGAAATTAAGACCGTTGGATGCCAGCTCAGTGGCCTAGAGGTTAAGAATTCTCTCATGAGACCGAAGATCCTGGGTGCGCACTGCTGAAGAGCTCCATACTACAGTGAAATGGCCGTCTAGTGTCTCTGCGGTTCCAACGATGGTCTAACTTCGGTTGGTTCATGATTCAATAAGATATTTTCAACTGTTAATTTAAATCATCAAGGAGTAAAATGAAATGGAGTTATAATCAGTATAAAATTGTCCAGTAAATATTATTGTTTTTACTATTATTATTTGTGGGTAAATTTGTTTATATTTTTCATTATAACTAGTAAAAGAAGTCACACTCACTATGCAACTAACCCATGAAATATTTCTGACTTCTTTTCTTCGAATTATTTCTAAATGATTAAAAAAATTCTTATTCATCAGTTCTGATTACATAACTTAATGATCAAATAAGATCTGTACAAATAATAATAATATCATATGTGTAATTAATATTCAAGGTATACTTTAAATCGTTGGCGTTAAGAAAATCTTAGATTACATGCTCTCAGATCAAGTTTTTTTTATTGCATATACAGAGTTGTTGAACTTCCAATGTGATTTTTGATTGTCACATAGTTTTTGCTGACCTCTTGGCTTCTCTGTGAGTTTTATTAGGTTGAGGAATATTGCTGAAGTGTTTTGTATCCGTTGTATAATTTATTCAATTGATGTGAATGCAGTTTTATGTCGAGAGAAAATCTTAATTATGCATAATATAAGAATTACGATAGGCTACTTGAACATTTAACACTTAGATTAAAAGTTTAACCTTTCTGCAGGAACTATAAACATGATATTTAAAGATTGTGTTTAATTATAAAAACGAAGACACATTTTAAAACTTTTGACGCATTCAATTAATTTCTATTTCATATTCATTTGTTTCTTTTCCTATAGAAAAGTCAAAAACCTAAATTGCATGAAAATTCTCCCATTACTAATTTACCAGAAAATAATTTAACTTCAGCTCATTCAAATAATGATTCAGATAATTTAGTAATGAATGAATCAAATGAAACTAGTGATCGATTGATCAATGAACAACTATCACGTCTTCCATTACCAAAATTAACTTTAGCTAAAAATAGTGTTGGTGAATTTAATGTTGTTGAAAATCGTGAAGAGAATATTGGAAAGCTCTCGGAAATATGTGATCATAAACCTACTATTGATAATAGAATAGTTACTAGTGTGACTAATAGTAATATAGATAATTCAATTATAAATAACTGTCAAACAATAACTAGTCCATCAACGTCATCATCAATATCATCAGTATCACCATCAGTATCAACAGTGTCATCTAAAGTCACATCGAAATCTTCAAAACGTAAATCTGACAATAAACAACGCGTGAATTGTCTGACTAATGATAGAATTTCTCAAATCAAGTCAGAAATTTCACAAAACTCAAATGGTGCGTGTAATATTGATCAATTGAATCATGGAGTTCGAAAAGATATTGGCTTAGTCAATCATCGTGAACAGATGATCATGCCAACTAGTACTGTAGGATCTTTGAAAACTGACGAACAGTATTCTACATTTACAACGAATTATGAATATAAACCTGTGATGAATTGTATTGTACCGAATAAGCCGACTGGGAATTCAGCAAACTCATCGTCCCTGTCATCTCAGCAAGTACAAGTACAGTGTGAAAATTCGAAATCAACTAGGTAAATTTTTATTATTGATATTTGCATTTTTGTTCATGTACAAATACCTAATCTAGATGATAATTTTCATGATGTGTAATGTTTCTTCAACATAGACAGTTGAATTGGTCTTGTCAGTCAAGACAACAACATTACAATAAGAAATAAAACGTCATGATGATTGAATTATTTAGCATAGAGAACAATAATATTACCGAAAGCATTGACCTTCGGTGCATCATTTTCTCTCTATTTCAAAATGTATTTAAATAAGATTTGTTTGTATTTGCAGTCAGTTCGTTGTATGTATTTTTTCAATGACTACATTTCACGTTGAATTGATTAGTTGCAGTGACAACATACTAATTGATTAGTGCAAATATTTCAATTTTGTACGGAGTTATAGTTACTTTATTCTTTGAGCATATTTGTTTCACTGATTCACAAGATATGAATGGTGTTCAATTAAATTCTTGAAATATTCCTTTTGGTTTTTTTATTCCTACTTGAACTGTATAGGTTCACATAAATACCTTGGGTGTTTATTTTGGTAAATTTGATTTTTTTTCTTCCGGCTTTTATTCTGTCATAACATTGGTATTACAATGTCCTAAAATAATGGATATTGTTGGCTGAGATCTTGACTACGTGGTTCATAATCAACTCCCTGTAGCAGAATGCTTTGTTTGTGATTTTTCATCTGTTACTTAACCTAGTGAAGGTATGAGACACAAGGATGTCATGTCTATAGTCGGCCAGTTTATTAAAAGAGCTAAGAATTACAGGTTATCAATTATTGAGTAAAGCTATAATGGTCTCCTACACGGAGCAGATCAGTGTTTCCCATTTACAAAAACAGTATTTGAATGCTTTACAACCCCGAAAAATAGCAATACATTTTAAAATGTAGAATGATATTTGTTTAAATTTATTTTAGACTTGAATATTTATTTGTGAATTTTTCTTATCACCATCATATAAGATTACTTTATTAGGAATGGTTTAACACGATTAATATTAGATATAAGAAATCAGATTTATGACTTGTTGAACAGTGTTCTTAGATTATTTGATAGTTACAATTAATTTTGAGCAATCTAAATATAGTAAACAGTTTTTGTAGTTGATTCAATTTCCCTAGTAAACTGTTAAAACTAATTATATCTTGGAATTTATATGATCAGTTCTCAACTACATATGCTTTCAATTAGAGTTATGGAGATTAGTATTTTTACACATTTGAAATCATCAATCAATCAATCATTGTTAGACCACCATTAAAACCTGAAAGCAGTGGACGTCCGTTTCGTCCTGGTATAGGACTCATCAGCAGTGCGCATCCACGACTCCGACATCTCGCAGAATTCGAACCCGGGACCTTAGGTATTGTGTGCAGACGCCTAACCTCTGGATATGTTTTGTAAATAAGCTTAAACCTTCCAATTCTTTTAATGATTACAAATAAAGTGAAATTATAAAATGTTGATCAAGTAAGACGTATGTTAACAATGTATTGTCATGTCTGTTAGTTAGTGGATAATCATCTATAGATGAGTGTTATGCCTTCAACTCTTGTATGGCCACACTAATTATAATCACCCGATGATAGTGTCCGCCAGTAACTAATTCACTTTACACTAAGCAGACTAACATCCTTTTTTTAACTACTAACATACTGATCATGAATAACAATTGAACACCTTAATACCTATTGATTCACATCACTCCTATTCCCAGAGTCTAATAAGAAGACAAACACAGTAAGTAGATTAGTTTTGTATTGATGTAGTGTCTGCTTAATTTAAAAACGGACAGGATTATGTACAGTAATTATATGACTGCAACACAGCACATATAAGAAATCATGCTGTGTACATTACTGCATCATATATTATATAAACATTGAATAACAGCTGCATAACTACTTCACAATAATTTAAACGTGGTAAACGTATAGCAAAAGTTAATTAGTGTAATGAAAAGCTTGGAAAAATACCACATAAACTGTATTTAATGAATACACAACTATGCATAAGATATATAGAGCAATTCACCATAGAATAATTCTAAAAATCTCACTTATTCGAATTAATCTAACAATATGAATATAAATTTATCTACTGATTACTTTATTTTAGTCTCATTATTGATAATTTATAAGGTGAGTAGTTGTTTAGTTAGCTTCTTTGTTGTTATTTCATTTTCTATTTAAGAAAAAAAAATCCATTTGGATTGTTTAGATAGCTTTTTTTAATTTTACAATCTAAAAGTTCTTAATTGTGTTCTTTTGTTTTGTTTTTTTATTTTCCAATGGATAGTTTGACCAATACTTCCACTGCTATAGAATTTGCTCAATCTATAGTACATGTAAGTGAATAATGTTTTTTTTTTAATTACCTGTTTATATGCTAATAATACTATTCAAAACTGTTAGACGGATAATAAATTTTAGTTTCACTACAGAGCTATAGAGAATATTGTTTTTAATTGGAATCATGAATTGACCATTTTTAGTCCACCATCAGAAACCTTGAAGCACTGGACCGGCGTTTCGTCCTACTGTGGGACTTTCCAGCAGCAGTGACCAGTGGAGTTCATCCCTGTTGGGTATAGGCAGTAACTAGCGAAGACAATAAGTGAGGTTGTGTAAAACCTTATATTCATCCAAGTTAAACATTAACACCTAGTGATTCTAATGGTTAAGCGTTTATCGTGAGACATCGAGGTAGTAGGCTTGGTTGTCGAGAGGGTTCTGGGTACTCATCACTGAGAAGTCCTGTAATAGGACAAAATAGATTTCTAATCCTCTCTCTATCCTTTAAAATGGTATCCCCAATGAGTTCAACCTGTGACAAATACTACCCATATATTTCTTAATAGTCGATAAGGGTTTATCGAGATTATTGAATTGTATTAATATCATGAGCCAACCAATCTTAGGCCACCCTTTAAAACATGACTGAACAGGACAGCTGTTTCGCCCAGGTATGGGACTTCTCAGGACCCAGGACCTTCAGTCTCGCACTGGAACTCTTAAACTTTAGGCTGCTGACCCGACATCCAAAGGTGTTAATATCTCACTTATTCCATTTCTGTTTTTCTCTCTTTAACTCCCATAGAATATATCAGGGAATCCTTCATTTCACACAACAACAACACCAACTACAACTAATATTTTCTGTGGTCATTCCACAAATTCCCCTAGTCAACATCCAAATATTTCATACTTATCTCCAAGTAAGTTCTAGTTATTTTTCCACGGTTTCATATGAAAAAAAAATTAAAATATATTTCTTTTCACTTGTAATACTTCACAGTTTTATACGTTTATATAGGAAATACTGTATTTTATTTGCTCTCAATTATAATTGTATAGAAAGAGTTCATAAACAAATGACTTTCAATATACTTGTAGAATACAACTTTGTCAATTCAGAAACTCACTTTTATAATCTTTTTACTCAGAGATTAATTTATACTAATCACTTCTGATTTGACTATCCACAATATTACAGTTGATCGATTGAGCCCTTTAACCTTATCTTTGTGAGAATAAGTAATACTAACATTAGTAAATAACCCAACCTCTTCTGACTGGAGTACAATAGATAAATGAAATCACTGACTGAAGACTGTAAATAGTCATTTCCGAGATCGATTACAATACTGTTAGTTCGTGAAATGTATGTATGTAGAAAAATAATTATGAATCTTAACTGTGTTTATACTAACGTGGTATTACAAATGGCATTGAAGTCTATTACAATGTCAAATACGGGGAATCTCAAACGAAAACACAATGAAACTGTTGGGATATTCTTCTTCTTCTTCTTGTCTATCATTTAAAACAAAACGAAAGATAAATACATTTTAATTCATACATTCAACATCTTTTGAATGAACTGGAAAAAAAGTAGTTGTACCTCTCACAATTGAGGATGAATGGAAGATATTTCGACTGTTGAAAAGATATTTACAGAATAGAATTCTTGATTGATTCCAAGCTGAATGTATGTTAATTAGAAAAATTTATCATAATACTTTGTTTCTGAGAATTGTTTACTGTAACGAAATAATTTACTGTGGTAAATGAAGATATTACTATTATTGTTGTTATTAGTACTATCACTGCCGTAAAACAATTTTATTCTTCATCTTCAATTGTTTTCTTCGCATTTTCTTATAGTCCATTGTGAATAACGACACTAGTTTTTCATTTCGGTTTAATTGTTCCGAGTTGATGTTTATTCAGCTGTTTGTAAAATTGTGTTAGCTTCAGATGATAGTTATTATTTTAGACTTCATATTACTTTAATCTATAGAGTTATTAACGATTTTCTCATTGTTTCTGATTGGATTATTCCCTCTTGATCGGTTTATTTACTTGCATGATTATAATGCACGAAGCAAAACCTCTTTATTGTCGTGATTTCGCTTAAATGTTAGAGGTCTTAGAAAATCTATTTTAATCGCATTGAACGATTAGGATATTTTTGGCTACCGATTCATGCAATGTGCTGAACTACATATGTCGACATAGATATTTTGGAAAGTCATTCACTTATAATACAGTATGATTTCTAATCTACATTTACACATTTTGTGTATAAGCCAATTTGTTTCCAACGTTCCTAATGTGAAGAATGGATTTTAGAGTTTGTTTGGAAAGGAATTCAATTTGGTATCTTTTATTGATGAGATCGGTTACAGTGTTTCTTTGGTACTATATTTAAATGTTAAATGCTTGGCGATAGCCGGCAAAAAGAACCGTGGACTTAAATTCAGTGGTAGTTAATCTTTGTTGGCAAGGTGTACCTTGAATTTTATCTGAACTGATCCTCCTTACGGGAGCTGAACCCACGATACGCTGGTTTGAGACGTTTGAGACGTTACCGGTGAAGCTATTTGGCTTTTGGGGACTTCCTGATGGATATCCTGTTATATGGTACTTGTTTAAAACACTTAATTTCTGTATATATTGACCAATTTAATTTGCCATCATTCGAAACATTGATTAATATCAGTTTCAGAAATCTAAGAAGTACGGAATGTGATAACATCTTCCTTATACATTACTTTAGACGAACTGTATACACCTAAGTATTGATAATATTTAATATGAGTGAAGATTCAAGAGTTCTTTTTATTACTTGGTAAATTTTTACACTTGTTTATCAACTTCTTATAATTTTAGTTCAACCTGTTACTATGTGGAGTCGTTTATCCAATCCATTACCTGCCCCAGATCCTCCAACGGAATTATTTAATACTAAACGTGTTCCATCACAATATCCTCCTCATCTTTCTAGTAATATGAATCATAAAGTTCAGCAATATCCAATGATTGGATCGGTTAATTCTATGTGTAGCAATCAAGGAATTCCACATACACTAATCACAAATCGTCCGCCTTATCATGCAGCATCGAATACCACTACTATTCCCATTAATTCAACTGTTCATCTGCCTAATGATGCCTACCTAAAACAAAATACAAATACTAATGTTGCTGGTTTAACTACAAATCCTGTACAATATTCACCCTTTTGTAATCCTAATTCTTTAAATGATTTGAATTCCAAACAACTTTTGCAACATTTAAATAAAATGCAATTAAATAGTCAACTTTATTCAAATTTACCTACTGCAATGCATCTGTCTTTACCTTCAGCACCACTCCCAAATACTCAATTCTCGCAAATATCGTCGTCATCATCTTCTTCTTGCTCTTCTTCATCATCACCGTCCGTCTTCAGTAGTGCGAATCCAATTCGACACTGGCCATGTACAAATAATCAATTTTTAAACTTTCCATCCAATTCAAACATTACAAAATTACCCGGCAATATCCCTGTAGGTTATGAGACTACATCGTTAGTGATACCTTCTGGCAATTCTATAGTAAATAATTCAAACATTAGTAATCATAGTCACAATGGTTTCTTATCATCATATCCTTTTTTACTATCTAATCCAACATTTGCAAATATGAACTTATGCAATTCAACACCTTTACTAGGTGCATGTCCATCATCTCTGCAATCGATGCTTGGCGCATCATACCTACTTGGTGCACAAAACTATAATAATCATAATAATAATCATAATCATAATAATCATAGCACTCTTCAAAATTGTCATTGGCTTCCTTGATGTTTTTATTGATAAACTGTAACTAAAATGTATCATAATTCAATAATTAGGTAGTTACATATTATAGTCTTTACAGTCTTTATGTGCGCGTGTGCGTGCCTACTAGCCTGTTTCTTTTTTTTTTGTATATTTACGTGATTCACTCTATTGTAAATACTTTTATTATGCATGTCAACAACAGAGAACTTTTTTTTTCTTCTTCCTTAAACACAAACAAGACCATACAAAGATTTGCAAGGTCCATAGTGTAACATTTACAAAAGGGTTGAGAAGTACAATGTATATGGATGACAGAAATGCATCTTTGTTCAATTTCTGTATTTTGTATGTAAATGTGTATTTTACCTGGTGTTATATTTTCACTCTGGTTTATTAATTTACCATGACAATCTCTTCCTCTTTCTCTCTCTCTCGCTCTCGCTCTCAATAATATATATATGCATTGATTTAGCTGTGTTTACATAGAGACGGATAGTTATTGAAATACTATTGAATTTGTTAATTTTCCATTGTTGGGTTGTGTTACGTTTCGTTGCGTTGTGTTGTGCATATATTCATCAGCTGAACAGGTTGGAAATAAAATTATTTGCCTGATTTTTTTGTTATCCATATATTTGAGTGTTTATCAGCACAAATTTTTTGGCAGCCCTGATTAAACTCAGCAATCTTGAATGCTTAGACCTTGTGCTTCAGTAAGTCGGTCATTAATTTGAACACTAAGCGTTACTTGAAGATAGTGGATTTACAAACTAGTTGTTCAATAAACGCGTATGTTATCGAATATTCATTTTAGATATGGTTTATTCCACCTATTAACTCAACTTGAATAGACTGATAAGCTTGATGGTTACATTTTCACTCTGTTACCAAACAAATTGTATTGCAGAGTCGATTCACTCAGACTACTAGCTGCATTGCAAACTTGATAAACAGAATTTCGTTATTATTTGAAAACAGGTTATTTCAATTTTGCTAATCAATCTCACACCTCCAGGCTTATTGCCACTAAATGCCACTCTTCTAGGTCGCCGAACTAAAGCTGAACTTTGGTCTGGAGTTGCTCCCGGTGGACCAACACCCCTATCCGATGTAGATTTAGTTATATGTGATGGTTATCTTGTGTTACTAGAAACTAGACAACATGATATTGGTTGTTAACCAGGTGACTGAGTTTGTTTAAACTAGTAACTGGGTGTAAATGTATGTATCCAATAAATTAGCTCATTATTTTTTCGATTGATGATCAGTTGAAGTCAGATCATGTGTTTGTAGATATCAGTCCAACTGTAGGCGGATTGTTGACAAATTATTTGTGTTTAACAGGAAATTACACACTGTTATTTGCATAAATCAACTAGATGGGATATGATAACGTTAAAAAAAGATAAATATCAGTTTATGTACTCAATAATTTGCTGTATACTGAATACTAAATATTCTGCAATTATGCCAAATATCACTAAATGTTTCAAGAATGTATTCAGCATTTCCAGTTTGCCATATTACTGATAGTGCTTACTCGTCTATTACAAAAACTTTATTGCCACAGGTGATTTGAATTTGTTCAACTGAATGTCCACACAAATTGTAGTTATATTATTTTCAACTGTGATTTCTATTTCCCATAATTATTCAAAGTGTAACCATTAACTTCTAGATAATTATTGCTTGTGTAAGCAGATGAATGAAATTTCATTTCATCTAATCTAGTCCTAGTTTTGTTTACAGCCTTTTAGATAAATCGTAAGATAAATAGGAATTCATTTATTTGAAAGGCAAAGTTTTAATTTTCTACGAAAATTTTTCTAATCTGATGTGAACATGTATTATAAACATTGGATCCGACATTCATCTTGTTGATTAGTGTCGCTGAATTTTCAGAAGGATTAGAATCTTATGGAGATAAGAAGCTTTCTGGAACTTTTCAGTTCGTTCGTATAAAATTTGTTCAAAAGATTTCTCACTTTGTAGCATCCATTAATTTGGATGAAACGTCACGAACGTGGTAACTGTTGAAGGCATTATAAAAATTTTTAACTACTGAAAATTTTTTAAGTAACCAAACAGATTATGCTCAATTGTGAAATTTTCTAGCTTTCAATAGAATAGGTGAATACTGAATATGAAACAAATGATGTCGAAAAGTATTTGATTTTTCACCAATTTATCGTGGTTTTTTTTAAAAAAAAAATAAATTTCAATATTTGTTAGAGTTAGGGTAGTAGTTATTTTATTACTCACTTATCAAATATATTAAAGCATCCTTCAAAACAAAGAAAGAGGACATTACAATGAACGTCATCCAATGTTATGCACCTACCAATGACTACAATGACGACGTTAAAGATCAATTCTACGAAAGGCTGCAGTCGATAGTCGAGAAATGTTCACCAAAGGATTTGACGATTCTTATGGGAGACCTGAATGCCAAGGTTGGAATGGACAACACTGGATATGAAGACATCATGGGACGACATGGACTGGGAGAAAGGAACGAAAACGGTGAGAGATTTGCAAACCTATGTGCCTTCAACAAACTGGTCATCGGTGGCACAATATTCCCGCACAAACGCATTCACAAAGCTACATGGATTTCACCGGACCACACTACTCAAAACCAAATTGACCATATCTGTATCAACAAAAAGTTCAGAAGGACCATGGAGGATGTGAGAACCAAGAGAGGAGCTGATATAGCTTCAGATCACCACTTGCTGATCGCCAAAATGAGATTGAAGCTAAAGAAGCACTGGACAACGGGGCAGACAACATCACAGAAGTTTAATACGGCCTTTCTTCGGGATACCGTAAAACTCAACGAATTCAAGATAGCCCTCACCAATAGGTCCCAGGCCTTTCAGGATCTACTCAATGGAGAGGAAGCAACATTGGAGAACAATTGGAAAGGGATTAAGGAGGCAATCACTTCAACATGTCAGGAGGTCCTTGGTCGCAAGAAGCACCATCACAAGGAATGGATCTCTGTTGGTACTCTTGAAAAAATTCAAGAAAGGAGGAACAAGAAGGCAGCAGTGAATGTCAGCCGAACAAGAGCAGAGAAAGTTAAGGCGCAAGCCGAGTATACAGAAGCAAACAGGGAAGTGAAGAAGAGCATCAGAGCTGACAAACGAAAATATGTGGAAGATCTAGCAATGACGGCGGAAAAGGCTGCAAGAGAAGGAAACTTGAGACAATTGTACGAAACAACAAAGAAGCTCGCCGGAAACTATCGTAAACCAGAACGACCAGTGAAAAGCAAGGAAGGGAAAATAATCAGCAACACTGACGAACAGCGAAATAGGTGGGTGGAGCACTTTAAGGAACTATTGAATCGACCAGCTCCACTGAACCCACCCAACATCGAAGCAGCATCCACGGACCTCCCAATTAATATTGGCGCACCCACGATTGAGGAGATCAGTATAGCCATCAGACAAATCAAGAGCGGCAAAGCAGCAGGACCAGACAACATTCCAGCAGAGGCAATGAAAGCAGATGTGGAAGCAACTGCGAAAATATTTCACATTCTCTTCAAGAAGATTTGGGATGAGGAACAAGTACCATCAGATTGGAAAGAAGGATACCTGATCAAAATACCAAAGAAAGGCGATCTCAGCAAGTGTGAAAACTACAGAGGCATCACTCTTCTTTCAATACCAGGCAAAGTCTTCAACAGAGTATTGTTAAACAGAATGAAGGACTTCGTAGACGCCCAACTTCGAGATCAACAGGCCGGATTTCGTAAGGATCGATCATGTACTGACCAAATTGCTACATTACGGATCATTGTGGAACAATCAATTGAATGGAACTCACCACTCTACATCAACTTCATCGACTACGAGAAGGCATTCGATAGCGTGGATAGGAAAACACTGTGGAGGCTTCTTCGACACTACGGTGTGCCTGAGAAAATAGTCAACATCATACGGAATTCTTATGATGGATTCAACTGCAAAATCGTACACGGAGGTCAGCTGACAGACTCTTTTGAGGTGAAGACCGGTGTGAGGCAAGGTTGCTTACTCTCACCCTTTCTCTTTCTCCTGGTCATCGACTGGATTATGAAGACGTCAACATCTGGAGGGAAGCACGGTATCAACTGGACAGTTAGGACGCAGCTGGACAATCTGGACTTCGCAGATGATCTGGCTCTTCTATCGCACACTCAACAACAAATGCAAGAGAAGACGACCAGTGTGGCAGCAGCCTCTGCAGCAGTAGGTCTCAACATACATAAAGGAAAAAGCAAAATTCTCCGATGCAACACAACATGCACCAACCGAATCACTCTTGATGGAGATACCTTGGAGGACGTTAACACCTTCACATATCTTGGCAGCATCATCGACGAGAAAGGTGGATCGGACGCAGATGTGAGGGCGCGGATTGGCAAAGCGAGGGCTGCATTTCTACAGTTGAAAAATATCTGGAACTCCAAACAACTTTCAAACAAAACCAAAATCAGGATTTTCAATACGAATGTCAAGACAGTTCTACTGTATGGAGCGGAAACATGGAGAACTACCAAAGCCATCATCCAGAAGATACAAGTGTTTATTAACAGTTGTCTACGCAAAATACTTCGTATTCGTTGGCCAGACACCATCAGCAACAACGAACTGTGGGAGAGAACAAGTCAGATTCCAATGGAGGAGGAAATCAGGAAGAAGCGGTGGAAGTGGATAGGACATACACTACGAAAAGCACCTAACTGCGTCACTAGACAAGCCCTCACATGGAACCCTGAAGGCAAAAGGAAAAGAGGAATGCCAAGGAACACACTACGCCGAGAAATAGAGAAAGATATGAGAGGAATGAACAAACACTGGACAGAACTGGAGAGGGAAGCCCAGGACAGAGTTGGTTGGAGAAAACTGGTGAGCGGCCTATGCTCCATTGGGGGTAACAGGCGAAAGTACAAAAAGTACAATCAAATATATCAATATGATATTTAATTGAGCCTTTATGAAGCTGATCTCAACCAGATAATAGCTGTAAAAGTGAGTGTAAAATGAACAGTCGTTAGTATTTCAAATGCTTTATATTCATACCTCTACAAGTATTACGTCAAGAATTATTCTAGTCTATAAATAATGTTGTTCGTTTTTTATTGGATATTCACTAAATATAATAACTATAGTGATCAAGTATTTTATTTCAAACAAATTAGCCAACAATTCTATATGTTCTTATAACTAAACATAGTCGCAACATATCAGTAGTAGTTTCATTTAGCCTGTATTACAAAAACCAATAAAACTATTATGAAAGCAAAAATAGTGAGATCGTTCTTACTGCGTAAAAAATTCTGATTTTGCCTATCGCGCATAAAGAGGTTAGTTAAAATGAATCAAAATGGGAAGCATTTGAGTACAGGTCTATTGTGAATGTATTGTCAAAAAGTCTTAGGAAACGGTTATTATAAGTATGAATGTTTATAGAACCATGCGTAAACAATGCAAGATAACGTCTATTGACCACAAAATGGACTATGGTTAGTTATTCGTCACTGATTGTTCATAATGTTTTGTCTAGTATTTGAATGAATGTAGATCTGTTGATTCATTTCAATAATTTGTAATCAGTATTCG